ACAATGATGAATTGTATGACTGGCCTGATGATCGGACGGACATGCATATACAATTTTGGTCTGCTCTACAGACACATCATTGGCGCCATTCACCAGATCAACTCAAACAACGAGCGCTACTACTATATCAATCCCAGCAACGACGATGCTGGCATCAGACTATAGGAACGGCGCAAGGATGGAGCCTTGAAGACCTCAATCAAGATTTAATTTTCGAAGCGAGAGAAGAGCTGTTCAACGAGAAGAGAGAAAAGGAGACGGCTATCGCTATTCAGCAAGCGGCAGCAGCTTTCGTAACAGCTCAACTGCAGTACCTTGCAGCTTTGCAGAAGCGCCCATATACTCCCGCAGAGGACTATTTGTCCAGCAACAAGAAGGTACGAACAGTCCGTCCCACTGTCAATGCAGGCCCATTACCTTGCTGCGCAGTCTGTCTGGGAAGACACCCGCACCGCACCATCGAGTGTACAGCCAAGCAGACATGGGACAAGAAATTCGAGACCTGCGCAGAGCGCATCCACAAAGGCCTTTGGGCTAAAGACGGGAAGCAACTCTGTACCGCTTGGCAGAGGGAGGAAGGATGCACAACGCCAAAACACGATGCACGCCACGCCTGTTCAGGCTGCGGAGCTGCTACGCACAGCGCCCAAAGATGCCCTAGAGCGCAGAAGGCAGATACCGCTGATGCCATACAAGGCTGACGCATGGGAACAGGAGCTTCGAAGAGCAGGACTTCTTGGGCATTTCGCCAAGATACTAAACGGTCTCCGGTTAGGTTTTGAGATAGATTTTCCTCCTGTCAGCATTATGCAGGTTCCACCAAATAAAAGTTCGATTACCGAGAACCAGAACGAATTTGAAAGTATCATCCGAAAAGAATTGGACAAAGAAAGGTACATTGGACCGTTTCAATCGTCACCACTGTCCATAATCCCTAAGCCGGGCAAGCCAGGCAAATTCAGGATAGTACAAAACTTTTCCTTTCCGGCATCCCCAAACGTTTCACATCCTAATCCCTCGATAAACTCCTACATTAATGCCAGTGACTTTCCGACGACATGGGGCAAATTTTCGAACATATATCTAATAATTGCAAGTCTTCCACCAGGTTCAGAGGCAGCCACAAGAGACGTGGCAGAAGCGTACCGGACGATCCCACTGCACCCCTCGCAATGGCCGGCAGGAATAGTAAGAGTATCAGACTCCCACTTCTGCATCGACACATGCACTGCGTTCAGAGCCACCCCTTCAGCAGGAGTATACGGACACATAGCAGACGCGGGCGCCGAAATCTTTAGGAGCAACGGCATTGGACCATTAGAAAAATGGGTAGACGATCATATCTTTTTCAGAATCAGAAAAGAGTACTTACAGCCATACAACGATAAGAGAAAGAAGTGGAATCAAGTCTTCGCGAAAGAAGGGATGAGACAATCTGGTGCAAGGCTGTGGTTTGGCGACACGTGTCAGGAAACAGGAAAACTGGAGGAATTGAGTGAGGACTGTTCAAAGCCTCTACAAGACCTTTCATTTCGCCCAACGAGATCGAAACACGACGAGCTTTTTGCATTTAGCTTGCAAGATATTGACGAGTTGTCAAGTATCCTAGGCATTATATGGGAATTGTTGAAAGACCAACCGTTCTCGTCAACAACAATCTATATAGGATTCCTTTGGGATATTGGACGAAGGATAGTCTCACTGAGTCCTGCAAAAGTCAGCAAATATCTAGCAGCAATCGACGAATGGAGAAAGAGACCAGCACACATTCTACAAGACGTACGAGAGCTATATGGCAAGTTACTACACGCGTGCCAAGCAGTACCACGAGGCAGGGCATACCTAACAAGCCTCGAGGAGATGCTTTCCCACTGCAGCGCTAAGCCCTTCCTTCCGCATCGAGCAGGAAGCAGGGTAGCGAAGGATCTAGAATGGTGGGCTAGGCTACTTCAGTCCGGTGGTGTAAAACGAGCAATTTACCCATCCATCAAACTCGAAAATCCTCTCGCATTCTCGGACGCGAGCTCAGGAATTGGAATAGGCATCGTAATAGGTAACTACTGGAGGGCCTGGAGATTAATCCCAGGGTGGAAAACACACAATGGTCAACGAGACATCAGATGGGCGGAGGCAGTGGCTTTTGAACTCCTCGTATACACTCTCACCTCTCTGCCTGGCATTGGCAGGCACGTCGTTGTCCATGGAGACAACACGGACGTCGTTGAAGGATGGTGGAAGAGGAGACACAGAAACCGAGAAGTCAACGAAGTCTTTCGTAGAATCAACGAGTTTATTCACACTCTACCCTACCCTTACGACGTCGTCACTACGTACATCCCAAGCACTTCCAACCCAGCAGATGAACCATCCAGAGGAGTATACAGACCAACAAGCCTTCTTCTTCCCCCAATCAGCCTTCCAACAGAGCTTGGTACCTTCCTCATCGATGCTACAGAACCACTGTCTGCCACAGAGCTCCGCCTCCTGCGCGATGGCCATTACTCCGCTCCAGCAGCTAAAGTTATCAACCGTGAGCTGCTCAGACAGCAAGCTGCCGAGCGAGCAAGAGAAAGCTGTTCTGAAGAAGAAAGTTTCATCAGCAGCGTGCTCAACGATGACGAAACATAAGAACTCACAATTCAGAGCACCGCTACCAAATGTAACAGATACTTCCCCCTCCCCCATTCCCCAGAACTATAGACTTAATTTGACACCCAAACCTTCTACCCTGCGCCCCCATTGTCTTGCGCGAGACTGACTAAGACTGTGGTTACCAGCGGGAGATAGTACAAGACAAGAGATAGCAGTAACCTCGCAGTCTCCTAGACACGAAATTTCGGAGGCGCAGTTGGAACAAATCCTTGACATCATCAGGTCGTCATGGGCACAATCGACGAAAGAAACATATGGGGCAGGCTTGCTGGTGTTCCATGTGTTCTGCGACACAAACAGAATCGCAGAAGAGCACAGATGTCTGGTTGCTTGCAGTCTCCTCCTAGATTTCTCTGCAGTTGTGCAGGGTCCTACTCCGGATCATCATTAAGTAACTACACAGCAGGTCTAAAAGCCTGGCACTTACTTCATGGAAGGAGTTGGTTGATCCCACCCAATGAGTTGAAAGCGGTGCTAGATGGAGCTGCGGCTGCAGCACCTGAGTCGTCCAAGCGTCCTAAACGGCTACCATTCACACCCGCTTACTTATCCATCATTTGCGAGCACCTAGACCTCAATTCACCGCTAGATGCGGCCATTTTCGCGTGCTTGACGACGACTCTTTATGCAATAGCAAGGTTAGGGGAATTCACAGTAAACGCAATCAAGGAATTCGATCCAAAGAAACATATAACGAGATCCGGCATATCCAAAACAGCAGACCGCAATGGCCTGCCAGTTACGAAATTCCACCTACCGAGCACTAAATGTTCTCCAAACGAAGGAGAGGACACATATTGGGCAATGCAGGAAGGGCCGTCAGACCCTAGCGCTGCATTGGAAAATCACTTGAGAATCAATCCAGCAAACGGTGATGCGCACCTATTCGCGTGGAAACACGCCAAAGGACTGCATCCTTTATCGAAGAAAGAACTATTGAAAAGAATAGCATCAGCAACAGCGGCAGCGAACCTACCAGAACTAAAAGGACACGGACTTAGGATTGGGGGAACGTTAGAGTACCTTCTGCGCGGAGTACCTTTCGAAGTCGTGAAAACGATGGGAAGGTGGTCTAGCGAAGCGTTCACACTATATCTCAGAGAGCATGCTGTGATTCTCGCACCTTACATTCAGGCATCACCAGTACTGGAACCTTTCACACGATATACCATCCCCCCAGTCCGGTGAAAAGAAGCACTTCTCCTAGTTGAAAGGGCCCCAAGCTTCGCTGAGTGCGTCGTAGTTCTCCTAATACATGGGAACACAGCTCACCTGGCGCCTTAGGCACGGACCCATGTTTCGGGCCGGAAAGCCCCTGCGGGGCTTTCGCCCAAAACAAACAAACAAGCAAACTAGCAAACGCATCCAACGAAGTCCCATCACGTTGTAGTTTCATTAGAAAGAGGATACCGAGTCCGTAGATCGAAACCTAGAAAGTAGGATGAGTTTGTACAAATACAAACAAAGACACCAAGCTACAAAAAGCGCATAGAGTGGGAACGATGCATGTGCATGCCGAACAACCAAGTTGGACAATTGTTCTGTGTTCGACGTACCGAGTCCCGACTAGTCCTTCTCACGAGAATGTCTTGACTAAGGTCATAATTCAACGTATATAATTAAGGCAAAATGACAATGCTCAAAATAATTGGCATAAGTAAGCTAACACCGGTGCAAAACCATGCGTATTGTATGTATGTGATGCATTGATAGTTACTCAGCCCAGGTTAGTGATTTTTCTACCTGAGGCGTCTGGTACAATCAGTCATCTCAAGAAGCAGTTCGAGTCATAAGGATAGTCAATTGTGTATAAAAGTCATGGTGCGCACATTTCGTTAGAAACATGATGTGGTTTTATCATGTGCTCACAATAGTCCCATTCCACGTCGCCGTCGCCGTATACATATAACGAGTCAACGGATTTGTGTTTACGGTTGCATGAAACACCATAAACTCACCATCAAGGCGTGGTGTAGCACCGCCAGGTGCTGTGAGGCCATCGTCATCAGTTATAAGCAACGGCGATGAAGCCTTGGTGTATGGGCCGGAAATGGATGGTGCAGTTGCGTATGAGATGTCATAAAGATCGGTGTTGTAGCAATTCGAGGAGAAGAAAAGCACGTAACTATGATTTCTGTGGTCAGTCCCGGATCCAAGTACATGTTCAAGTTATATCGACTTACGTTCCATTATGCAAGATAAGCGCTGGGGCTTCGATGAGGGGTCCATCGGATTGCCCTCTATCCAAAATCTGGACCGGTTCCCCAGTAGGCGTGACACCATCAGCCTCCATTTCCTGAAGCATGATAGGAGTAGAATATTCTCCGTTGGCATTCCCGCAAGGTCCACCTCCTCCAAGACTGCTCCCATCCACCTTGTACACAATGTAGCGTGTACCGTTGGTATCCTGAAACCCTGCGGGGTCAATGGCACCACCGCCTGAAGTTTGACAGGCAATTGGGTGAGACTCGGGAGTGTACGGTCCGGCAGGGGTGACGGAAGTAGCAGCTGCTACGCAATGAGTACTGTGTGAGGTCGACCATGCCGCATAGTCTGCAGGCCATACCTTAGTACAATATCATCTGAGGTGTATAAGATCGAGACCTACACATCACAAAAGTTCCATCCCCTCTGTCAATGACATCAGGTGCCCAAGTACTGTTTGCAGTTGCCCAAGACCCTACATTCGGGAGTGCATCAACACCAGACTGCAATTCCCAAGTTACACCACCATCAGTTGACGTTGCAACCTGAATGTTGATGTTGCCGGAGTTAGTTGCAAATGCATAAGTACCCCCACTAGTAACAAGGATAGCAGGATCAGGAAAGTTGGCAGAGATGACAGGACCATTGACTATAGCCCAAGTCAAAGGGAGGGCGGCCAAAGATATTAGGGCGAAAAAGATCCTACTTCGGAAGCTTGGCATTACTGAGGGGGCAGAGGAAAGCTATTCCACGGAAGTCTGGTGTTGCCCTTGGTAAAAAGAGGACTTAAAACGGGTTCACAGGCATCTGGCAGTGCATCTGGCAGTGCATCCAGCACCGTTGAAATGAGATTGCATCAAGCAGGGTGAGGTCGTTGGGAAGTAAATATCTTCGGCGATGACTTCTGATCACCTTTCCTGTGTCAGTTTCTTGATCTCGAGGCAAATCCAGTGCTTGTCCGCCGCAGGAGCAGAATGAAGGTTTTATCACCGAGGACATGTCTGCTGTTATACGTTCATGACATATGATGGATGTGCGTACGCAGTACTATGTAACATGAATTACCAAGCGCGCATCTCGCCACGAGCAAGGTGGCAGAGAGAGCTAGCCAAACGAATACCAAAGGTGATCACTTTCGTTGGGTGGATCCTACGCTTTCCATAGTCTCCCTGTCTGGCCCATACTCTCCACGAATCTGGTCCCATTTGGACCACGGGGCATCATAGTGATTTTATGTTGCGGTATAGCTACATGCAAACTAGAGAGCCTTCTTGGAAGGCAATGTTAGTTGGACGTATGCAGCCTGCAACGAAGGCGGCGCGTTCGGCTGTCGGGCAAGTTTCCGGAGGGAAGCTACAAGATATGCACGCTAGTTTTGTTGGATAAGCCGAAATCCACGAGAGCTACACCACATTAGACTCACTAAACTCGGATCCAGCGTGGGCAACTTGCACCACTGCTCTACAAATTCGACATAGACATCAGCCATCCCAGAGGCGTTTGTGCTCCCGGCGCCAACAGCCAAGGAGAAAGACTCATTTGCGGCTTGGAGGGCATCGACGAATTCTTCACTTTCGGCCATGACAAAATCATCACTATTCTCTTGAGATGTAAGTTCTCGAAGTTTTCTTGTCGCCAGCATTTTCACCGCATGAGGGTCGCCTTGTAGTGTGTCTTTAAGAACATTGTATAGATGATCGAGAAGGGCCGTGCGAAGACGCTCTTGGCTGGGATACGAACGAATTAGGACCTCGAGAGCTGTAAATAAATTTATACTAGGCAGAGCTGTGGTCCAAATCAATATGAATCCTTATAGAGGAATGACAAACAGACCTTTTGCAGCGCTCAAAATCACGGACTTGACGATAGCACCATCCATAATGGCTTGCCGTGCCCTCTCGCCTTCGTCACCTCCCTTCTCAGCTGCTATCTCTTCTGGGGTCAATATCGCCATATCTTCCGCAGCAGTTGTCTCTGCCTCAACAATAGGGTGACCTTCCTCATGAATTCCCAGCACAGTCCACCTTCGTTTCATCCCCTCAACGAAACTCAATTCCATTCGCACGTACTCTCTCCACATATCAATGCTGTCTGCATTGAGTCGAAGACCACGCTGGAGGAGGGCGCGTGCCGCGGAGGGGGACATATGGTTAAGTTCGTGAGAGGCGGCGATGATGTATAATGCAGGGGTTCTTGGATGGAGCTGGAGGGCCCTATATGCACGGTAAAAAAACAGACTGACCAAATTTTAAACTGGACGCACCTGGCTGTTATGCGCCCTACTAGTGAACGAGCCCCCTCACGTTTTGCGACCTGGATATACTGTATCCACAATCCTACGTCCGACTTGAATTTCTTGAGCGCACGTTCAAATATCTGGAATTGTCTGCGAACAAGAGCATAATCAGATATTGACGGTGCAGTCTTTTCCAGTTCTGAGAAAAAACCATAGAACAGTCAGCGAGTCGGAAACTTTGAGATATGGATGTACTTAGCACGTACTCAGTCTCTCCACGCGCTTCCGCCTCAGCTGCTCCAGATTCATCTCATACGCCGCATATCGCAGGAAGTCACCCTTTTTTGGGATGCGGCGGACAAGCGCGGTTTCGAACTGTGTACGTTTTTTCACAATCTGCTTAACCTCAGACTAGAAGCAGAGTTAGATAGGACTAGAGGGATATAGTATGAGACCCACGCACTTGGTTGAACAAACTTTTTTGCACGAGATCCTTGAGCTCTGCGAGCATCTAGGTTCCATTAAGTCAAAAATCAAGCCTTTGAAGGGGTAACGAACCTGCTCCTGCTGAAATTGTACCCTCTCCATCCTTAATGTATGGATGGCAGTCTCCTGATGAAGCTATCAATGCAAATTCGATAGTAAGAAATTGAATGGAGAGTGTATATGCGTTCGTACCCGAAATGATCAAGATAATTTTGTTCAAATAAATTAGCTATTACCGGAAGTGACTTATCAGAACAATATTATTTAATAGCCCCTAATATACATCCTTCTAATTTAACATCGTCGGACACAATGTTACTATGTAGTGCTCTTCAAACTTCATTTAAAATATAGGTAACAGTACATCTTTCTTGCTGAATTTTGCATCCCAGCCAACAGCCGATTACCCTTTGTTCCATACTCGTCCAGGAAGGCTCCACACCCCTCCTCGCCTGACAGCATCTGACATGTATCCTGTCTCAACACCTGGAGAGGCTTCAACCCAAACACCGTTTTCCCCATGTCCTTCGCCCGACGTGATCCGTATTTCGACCAGCCCGTTCCTAGACACAGGCCTCGGAGAGGTGAGCACGATCATCGGGGGAGGGCATGTTTCAGGACCATGTGACTGCTGCATGGTATCAGTGGGGGTTGAAAGATCCATGCCGAGATCCATGTCCATACTCCCACCCATGCTCATGCTCAGCCCTGGGATATCCATCTCCATCTCCAAGTCGCTCGGACCGAACAAGCTTGCACCACTGCTGGAGCCTGCGCTTGCAGGAGGACCCATGCCAAGCCCGCTGTGTTGTGATGTAAATGGATCAACTGGTTGGGACAATGCAGACAAAGCACTGGAGGGGAGATAGACGTTCACTGGAATAGATTGTGGCGCAACTGTTCCTGCGAGGACCGAGGCGAGCAGAGTAGTTGATGCTGCGTCTTCTGGTGGCATTCCTTGTTCTGCATTTGACGGTCGATGGGATGATTTCAGCACTGGAGTTTCAGGCGACCATTGAAGTATGCTCAGTGATTCGTTGAGCCAGCATTGTCCTCTAACAACCTGGAAGAATATGCTATAAGCATAACTTAACAGTTTGGTCAAGATGAAACTTGCCTCTAATACTCGCGAGACTTGTTTAACGCTCCTCACCGGGACTCTCTGGAGGAGAAAGCCTGGTTCCGGAGGTGCTAGAAGGCGAAGGTGTAGCGGTGGATGGATGTCATTCGGTGACTTCTAGATCAATGGTCAGTGTGTGTTTGTACCTGGACGTGTTCCACACACATAAGTTGCAGTGTAGTATTCTGCTGATGAATTGTTATTGACCTAGACCAGGTACAGGTATCAGCACATGCATATGCCTATAACTGTAGAGAGAAGTGACTGACCAATAAGTCAACCCAGCTTCTACCAGTTCCTCCGCTTCCATTTGTCTGTGAAGACGCCACGCCAAATTCTCCAAAGTTCATATTGCTCATATTACCTAGACTTGACATTGAGCCCATACTAGACATGTTCCCCATTGAGATCATGTCGATGGGTCGGGACTCAACGATTCCTTGAATTACACGCATACGACTCTGGCACATCACCACGCCATTCTGTGGTAGCTTAGTGGTGAAGTCGAGTACCCACATCTGGGAGGGGGCAGCCAGAAGCATGTGATCTCCAGGGACATCGCTCGAGTCCATCTTGGACTTTGCTACTTCAGTGCAAGGGACCAATTTTAGCGTAGCGATGGTGACATCTTCTAGAGTATCAAGCATCGATGTCTTGAGATGTGCTATAGGGATGTCAATGTTCCACATTGACGATTGTTTGGATGGCGGAGAGCTGCGAAGGAGCTGAAGGTACCCACGGGGCGAAAGCCAGACTATGAATGATAGCGAAGGAGCAACGAGATAGGGCAACGGAAGGGCATGTTGTGTCAAGAATTTATCAAGATCTTCCATCTGCGGTGAACTGTGAATATCACGCATCAGTATAGAACAAGGACGACAACAGAACAAACGTACACAACCTGCTTTCTGATGTGATCCGAAACCACAGTTGGCTCCATGAACCAACGAAGTCCTTTCTCGTTCTCGGCAGCCGCAAGCCCGTCGAGCATCATGAGATATCGCAAGTGTTCTTGTATTGCACGGCTACGGCGTGCAGCTTCAATCGCAGGATCCTCTCTCGAATGTCCGACGGCCGAATCTATGCCAGCAGCCCGTCTCGCTGCATTGATCCAGCGGGTCACTTCCTGCGCGAGAAAGGCGTCTAGCTCTGGTGCTGCCGATGTGTTCCCGTTACCATTTGCATTATTAGCGAAGGACGTCTTGACAGCGACATGGTCGTTGATATCAATATCAAGTACAAGTACTTTTCCTGCGAGAACAGTCGTCGACCCATCTACGAAAACTTCCATGCCAAGATTACGGCCCCATTCCGCGATCTTTGCAGGATGTGGAGGACTTGCGTCCGGATAAATTGCTCTGTTGTCTCCTCGTAGTAGAGACGATAGTGAAACAGAGGCAGCAGTTGACTGATTGATTGAAGATGTCAAAGCTGTGTGCTCCTTCATGAGGGCAACGAGTTTGGTGGCGTTTTCACCAAGGGGTAGGTCATTAAGCTGGTTCAGCGCATGATTTAGGCGGTTAGTTGTATTGATGACTGCACCAAGTTGCGCAGTTACTGTAATATATTCAGTGCTGAGAGGATGGACAGACTCGGTCGCTTGGACAGGCAGCACGGACTGCGCGAGCACATCGTGCACGGCGGTCAACAAAGATGGATGGGACATGCAGCTTCTTGAATTTGAACTTCATCTGGTTAGAAGAAGAGAGCGGAAGTTACCGATCAACGTGAAACTTGGTAACAAGCTTCCAACCTGATTTTCTGAATTGGCGGACGGTAAAGAACTGCAATCGATCACACTAGTGGGTCTGCGTCCATGGAGGACCCAAACTCTTGAGGTTGAAACATATGTGAGCATCCCTGTGGCCCGACAGGGTGGCATAGCACTACTGATTTTGTGCAGGGCTTGCCTTGACTGGGTACGTGACTACTTGCAGTATCCTTATTATATATGTGCTCGTTCCCCCACCATCCCAGGCTCATTTCGTCCTTCCGTAGCCACTTCAAGAATATCATCAGTTTCCCAACCTCACTGACAAATCCTTTCTTCTCGAACTTTACCACAGTGGACACTACATTCGCTCTCTCTGCTACCCCCAGTCCCCCCTTGTTCCATGACATCGTACTGCCCGCCTATGTCGATGTATGGATGGCTCAAGAGGACAAAAAATTGCATCGGTTCCATCTGTGTGCAATAACGCCTCGGGATCGCAAGGGTGGAAGAAGGCAGGGCGGTGTCCACATCCGATAGGAAGTAGCATCTTCCACAATAGATTTAATCACACGTAAGTATGACTTGAGTAATGAGCTTTGAGACCTCCATGTCTCTCTCCGTGCCAGCAATGAACTTGACTAACAACCCTTCCCGAAAGACATCGAAGACGACACCGTTCGTCTGGCTGCCAGCTGCTGTGCCATCCAAGGAACCTTTGGTTTTACCCTGTTTCAGCACACATTTCAGGACTCACAAGTCCATACCTCATTAAATAGTATGTGCATGGGCTCATACCATGAGTATCCTTTCCTTTCACGAAACTCGAGTTCACCCCGACGTACTCTTGTACCGATACTGGGCCAACATCTACCAAGGTGACACTCTCACCTTCCCACGACACACTTCCAATGGATTCGCGGCGTCTTTCAGCGTTGTGGGTGATACGAATTTTTTCATCGTGTATCGCCTCAAGGATAGATTCCTAAGTCGCGACGAGACAATTGACCAGTTCTGGTAGCTGTGCGAGATCGATTACGACCACCTTCAACTTCCGGATGGCTTAGAGGCAAAGATGGTTGATCTGCATCCCGGAGACCTCTTGTACACTTCCGCGAAATCTTTGTTTGTGCTTCAACTAACCTAACACAGATTCATGCCACCTGACCAGTTCTATGCACGATATGCCGGGCTGCTGACGTATGAGACACCATCCACCCCTCGGATTGGTCTCTTTTCCTGGACAGTGACCGCGGTAAAATGTACGCGGGGCGGGAGCGCAAAGTTACTTTTGTAACCTTACACCGGACCTACATATCCTTCAGTAAGTTGCTTTGTGCTCTATCTACCCTAGGCTTCAATGATTTCCTCACAAGTAGAGACCCATCATTGCCCCACTGGTCCTGGTTTTTATGATGCTCGACCCAGCTTCCTACGTTTCGCAGTGGCGTGATAGTGTCCAGTAAGAGGCAGGAGATGGATGACACAGTCGACATGGTGTGTGGTGGTGAGTTTGAGTCCAAGGACTGCATCGGTTTCTTTCGAAGGAGTGTCAAAAACGTAAGTCGGCGCTCTATTAACCCTTTGGATTTGTGGCTTCGACATCAGCGACAAGAGAGCATATGCATTCTCACTCCCACTATTCAATGAAGTTGACACAGAAGTATATTTCTTTATCATACTGTCCAACTATGCGCCCCTCATCATCTCTTAGGCGTCTCTGAGAAAATTGAGCTCGCGCTCTTTCACGGCAGTGCTACGAAAGAAGGCCTTCAAGGCTGAGTTTGTCAGACTAGCCTGCGATGCTCAAACCTGCTGAGTACACAATTGAGGCATAACTAAAATAAATATGACGGATCCTCGACCAAATATCTCCTCCATGCAGAACACTCGACAACCATTTCCTACACAGTACTGCTAGTTGGTACATGTACGCGCTCCTGGAAGACGATTAAATTCATGCTAGTTTCTGCATCGGATTCGGCCACGAGTTTAGCGTGATATTGTCGAACGCTAAGGATGAGGCGTGGTCCCAGCACAAACATCTGCACGAAAAATAAAATTTCACAAGCACCACCGAGTATCTCAATTCCAACGTAATTCGAATTCTACAGAAATGATGAGCAGTGGTTACATGTAGATATGTTGGCGCACCTTGACCTCTGGAGAGATATTAACAAGCTGGAGGCAAGAAACGCCGGCAACGCTAGCACATGCAGAACTTGAGCAGAAACCGATAAGCACATTCGCATTACAAGCTCACCTTGCAAAATAAAGCACGTGGGATTCCATGAGCACTCTGAAACAATCCCCGATGGTCGATCCCGTCCATGGGCCGAGTCGTCGCAGGTCACGGAAGTGCTTTGCAGCGATCCAGACTGAAAGACACAGTGCGAGGACCTCCCAAACAGTGCTGAGCATCCAGATCATTGATGTAAGAAATTGGGTATCCCTCCCCAATCTGGCATCGCACATATGAATGCCAGAGAGTATCAATTCCTCTGGTATTAGTCCAATGAGCTGTGTTCTTCAATTCAACAACTAAAGCTTACCGGATACAACATCATACTTGAGTCCTGTGATCGTGATTATTCCGCAGGCGATGTTTACAGCTAGGAAGATGGTAACAAGGAAGATAAGCATCCTCTTAGATCTCTGATACATGGCATGCAACCGAGCAATCATGATGACTTGAATCATATTCAAGTTTCAGTCGAGTCAATATCACTGAGGTATCGCAGCTGGGCAACTCACTGCCCAACATGGCAGCTACGACCACATTTGTCCCATTTATTGCATAGTATATGATTTTGCCTGAAACACCTGATTAGCGGTCACCCTCGTACTAGGATAAAACACCCCGACTCACACCTGTTGAGTGATTATGTGGAGCCAAGTCCAATGGTCAAATCGCACTCACCCCTACAAATGAATGTATTCATTGGATAGGAATGAAATGATTGGGGAATACTCACTGCATCTGTCAACGAGACGATTGTAATATTTCCTGTGTGCCGCCGGTTAGAAGATTGAATACGGTGCATATGAGACATACCCAGAATGATGGCACTGATGATGAGAGATGGGCTATCAGTACAGCAACTACTTTCTGGCGTCGATTAACATACACAGAATATAGTATTCCAACATAGCGTATCTAGAACATTTTGGAGTCAGCACAACTGCCAACTATGTCATGGTATAACATGAGGTACGAACGACTAGGTACAGCATAGTCATGAGAGACCAGCGTTGGGTCTGTCACAAATTCATTGTTCTTGTTCTGATATGGGACTCTGTGACTCACCCAAACCAGGTCTATCTATGACAGCATTGTTAGCAAGTTGAGTACTCCAGCGCCATAGCATCAAACTACCTCTTGTGCGAGTGTTAATACTGGAAATATCATGAGAATATGATACAGCAATTTCAGGACACTGTGGCGCTCACCCCAATCGTATACGACCATGAAGCCTGCGGCAACTGCGAAGCCAGAAGTCAATCACAAATCAAGACATAACCAACTGATATGGCGAACCCGTCCAATAGCTGAACAAAATACTGAAATTGATGAAGGGCCACCAAGTGGGATCATTTGATACTAGGGTCATATTGGAGGATGGGTGTGTATGACGATCTAGCGTTCATGCTAGATATATACAAGCATTCAGCGCTTGTATCGCCAAAATTGGCATGATGGTGATTCGGACATTTGTCTATGCATCATGCTCAAGGGAGGCCCTTGCAATTGGCTGGTGACTGGAGTACACGTAGAATTTGATTTGCATTATCCGAATTGGAAATCGGCTTCTCACGCGGAACAAGGGCCATTCGAACGGCGGGTTGAACGTTCACATCTTCCAATATCCAGAACGTTCTCTAATCGGTACCCGGTCGATTACAATACCACTCTATAATCCTATCTTTGCGACGACCCGGCCTCATCAGATAATAGATTCAAATCTAAATGTAAGTATCATACGTTCTGAACGTTGGCTGGCATAGCTCCAACTCAATTTCCGATATGATAGTCCATTGCAGTAAGATCCGATTTAGAGACCTTTGGAGCGTCTTTTTTTTTTACAATGTCGACAGCAACGCCTCCTGCGCCTTCAATCTACAAATATTTACTTAGTTTCTGCACAATCAAACCCGGGTCCATTCTCTGCCACAATCAATCCTTGCGCAAAACAAGTTTACTTGGGACGATCATAATGGTCCCATAGTGTTGTCTTCATTGCGTTCTTCATTCACGCGTGCCTTGAGACTGGACATCGCCTCCACGTCTCTTATTCCTCATTCATCTATACGTTCAAACAGAAGGCGAGAGTCATTACGCTGCGGAGCCATTATGTGATCAGCTGTCTGAGCTCAGACACGCTACTTCTACTTTCTATTCCACTTGCTTTCCATTCGTTCGGTCCAGATAACTGATAATTCAGGCTCCATAGTTCTGAATAAACATTTTTCAACAGTCTTGCACGACTCAGCATGGGATGTTATGGGCGATCAGCTCCACTTGGAAAAGGCTTGGGACAATTCTAACGCGATCCAGTCTGATGACGATCTGTGACGGTCCTGCTACTTATTTCCTGAGGGCCTTCCTCGGTCCG